CACACCCTCAACAAACATTATGGGAATTAAAAAATAAAATCAGGATTATCTAGGAGTTCTGATGGAGTTCAATTACTGGCTATAATGGCCTCTGTTCCTTACTTGAGGGATTCTCAGTCTTTACCCATCTTATGATACTAAGATTCATCAAGAGTGAGAAACCATTTTTCTTAGATCCCCCTCTATGGGGGGATCTAAATTTAGTACTGAAGTATCTTACAAGATCTCTCTTGAACTTTTTCTTTTCTTATCCTACCCTATCAGTTCTCTCTCATGAAGTATGAGACTGTCAATTGGTTGAAGAACTTTTGAAAGGTCTGTGCAGGTCTCCCCTTTTTCCATCATTTCCAGTCATTACTACAACGGGTACATCTTTGTTACGTTGGGGGCACATCTAGGAACACATCAATAAGATCAGATGGCCTACCTTGAAAACAAAGATTTGGGGAAATTGGGATTTTAAAGGCTGGATCCTCTTTTACATTTTTTTTCTCAATAAGGCTTTGTTATACTCTCATCCTAAATTGTTACCTAATTAGTCATCTGAATTTCATATCATCAAATTCATCCATCTCTCATGTGTGCACATGTTCCACAAAGACCAGGGAGGATATTACTTTGGTATCTTGGATATCTGTAGAATGGTGACATTCTCAAGCAAGCCATTTAGGAAGTTTTCCAGAGGGTCCATTTCAATTGCTGATACATCCAAAGGGTCTACCGTCTCCACACAGATTTTAGAGGTGAATTTCTGGGTGCATTATTTTTTGTCATGAATCTACAAATATACAGCCTTTTTCTAAGTTAGCCAGTCTACAAGCTTTCTTTGTCCTTTGGATGTGTTGCTTAAGCAGGTTCCAATTACGGATATTTACAAGGCTTCAGATAATACCTTCAATAATACCTTTTCCACACATTTTGGTGGTCCATTCTTTTATAGGCTCAGAGTTGATTTCTAATGCTTAATAAAGGTCAGAATAGGAAGCATAGCATATTAGCTTAATTTTCATTATGACATTTAAATTAAAAGTTTGTTGAACCTGCAGTTATAGTATCAATCTTCGGAAACATCAAAACTTGTTATGAAATAAAAAATTGCTTGCAAAGAAATTTGCGCAACTCGCAAGGCACTGTGCCATGTTTATTCCAATTACAAAGAAGTTATTTGAGCGGTCTCCCCTTGTGGGTGCTCCACTTCAGGCATACATGCTTCCTTTTGGACTGTAGTCTTGTTTTGAGTTGTGGATTCTGCACCAAAGCTCCTCCCTTCAAAAGAGGGTACTGTTCAGTAGATGCCCGAAGTGAAGCACCCATTCAGAAGACTAACACAGCTACCCCTCTGATACTAGAAGGAGGGTTACTGACTGGTACAGTAACTGGAGTTGTTTGAGGTGTGCTCTGCTGCCCACCCTTCATTCTCTCTGTTAATGTTTCTGTTGAGGGATTTTGTGGTGGTGAAGAAATTGAGTACAGTTCACTTGTGTGATCCTCTTTGGTACAGGGCAAATGGATGCTGCTACCAAAAATCTCGGATCAAAGGCTAGTGAGGTGCATGTAGGCCTGAAGTGTGTCATGAAAGCTTAAAAATTCCTCTACAAATGCTTGATTTCAGACAGAGGTGATTGTTTACAGACAACAAAATAGTAATTTTGGATTTTCAAAGCTATTCCGCAGTTTTTGGATATGTATTGTTTATAAGAACATTGTGATATTGAGGGTTAGAGCCAGAGTGCAGCGAAGATGGAGGGATAGTTGCTGTGCCCAGATGGTGAGGGCCAGTGGTGTGCAGGGGAAGTGGATGATAGATACTGGGCACTCAGAGCTAGAGTCAGGTGTGAGCTGCAGGGAGGAGGGGAAGAAGACGGATGTATGCAGGTGAGAGGTACTGTGGATGCTGCCAAGAGTTAGTCTGCTTTGCAGCATATTGAAAGAGCTAGCATCCTGCTGCTGAGTGCCCTGAACTACATTTGTAGTTTCTGTTGACCTTACACACACTCTGTGTTTCTGCCTCAAATCTCCATCTGTAAAATGCATCTTTCACCTTGCAGAGGTTTTGTGCAAATAATCTATTTGTAAATTATTTGGATACCATAGTGATGAGTGCAATAGAAAGCCCAGGGGGAAATAATTCTTTGTTCAGAACAAGATTTGAATAGTGTGCAGCAAATAACTCCTACAGCTAGCTACATATTGCTCAGTGAGGGTAATACAAAATATTGAATAGTTGCTCATTAGTTGAATGGTGTACATTCTGTGCAGTAAATGAGTCTAGGGTTTTGTGGGGGGGAGGGGGAGGAGCATGTGAGCATGTAATTAATGACAGCATCATAATGCATACATAAAAGATGCCAAATTAAGGTTCCTCTGGTAATCCTTATTCTACAGTTTCCCAATTTTTCAGTGCTTGCTTTTTCTAACCTTAATCTTTAATTTAGTTCTGTGTGTGTAATATAAACTATGTGTAGTTTTTATATCTACAAATTTAATTGTATATTTAGCGCTGAGACCACTTTGCGTATTTCATATTCTCACTATTTTCAGTGGCTGTCTGGCATGATTTTAGTTTTGTACTACGGCAATGACTTAATAAGAGAAAATCTTTGTGTTTGTGCACATTCCTTTTAGATCACTCAGGCTCAGTCAGTCTATTTAATAATCTGCCTAGTAACTGGGGGCGATGCTTTGGTTTAAAAATGTTCTTCAGAACATAGTGTTGTGTTTGCAATTAGATTTTTTAAAATAATCATTTAATGGATTTAATTTGGTGTATAACTTAACTGCTTGCTCTTGATAGCCTTAAACCAGACTCACCAACTCAGATCTAGAAAGGGAGAGTATAGCATTTTCAGCTAATGAAATAGTGCAAAACTTTTTTTAAAGAGCTTACTGTGTTACAGGGAGATTGAGCTTTTTGGAAACACATGCCATTAGGCAGAAGTTGCAAAATGAGACAGCAGTATGTGTAGCATGTTGGTGCTATTGTGGCATGCAGAATACTATTCTCAAAGCTTTGTTACTAATATAGCTGCAAATAGAGTTAAAAATTGTTTCTTTACCACAGACATTTCTGAAAATCATAGAAGAAAGTTTTAGCTGTTTCAGTTCTTAAAACTTTCTATATATGAATCTCAACTGTTCACTGTGTAAAGTCTATAACATAAGTATATGCTTTAGTTGGGCTATCGATGCATGTAGTAAAAGATTCATGTTCTATCAACAGCACTAATATATGCCACTTGTGGCACAAGGATCATTAATTACAGAGCACTTTAAATATATCTATTGGATACAAACTTCAGTTGTTGAAATTTATTTTTCTTTTACATCATTGATACTGCTTCCCAGCCTATATGTAACTGTGAGATTAAGGCATGCATGCCAGTTTCAATACATGGACTAGCAGTAATCTTCCTGCATGTTTATTGAAAACAGTGATAAACTTCATTGAATTTGAGTTACACAAAGTGCGTGAATAACTTACATTACATTTTAAGTAGTCTATAACTGATCTTCCTACATACTTTCTTTTAAACAGTTAAACTGGTGTTCTCTGCTGTTTCCAGTTTACAGTCAATTCATTTTGCTGATTCATCCATTATTGTGATGGCTCCAGGCCAGAACTGGGTTTACAGATTAAAGACAGAGCTATAAAACTATTGGGACTCAAAAGAACGTTGGTAAATTGTTGCTGAGTGAAGGCAGCCAATGAAAGTGGATAGTTTTTTAAGTGATCCTAATTCTGCATGTGTTGAGAGAAATCTTTCCATCATAAATCGATAGTCATGTTTCAGTGAAATGGAGTCCCAGCAGTAGATGGCTATGATAGTAGGAGTGACTGTGTGCCTCTTTAATGAATATTTTGCATACTAAAAAATGCAACCCAACTAAAGTTGTATTGTGCAGCAATCAAAACAAGGTTTCATCAAAAGTTCTGTAAATGTAGACTTTTCCTGGCAAACTTGCAAAATAAACCTGCTGGGTTAAGTAATGAGACTTAAAGGAAAAAATCCAGAAAGACTTTTTCTTGCCAATGAACACTCTGGAAAGGATAATGACTGAAGATTTGGTGGTTTCTCATTTAAAAAAAAAACAAAACAAAAACTTGAACCCAATTAAGCCTTTTGTGAGGCCTATTTTTTTAAGCAGTGCAAATAGTACTTTTCCTTGATATATTTTTTACCCACTGCCTTTTCTTGTTCTCTTCTCCCCCTCTGCCCATTTTCCCTTCTTCCACCTGCACCCCGGTCTCACCTATTTACGTTGGTCCTAGACATCCAACACTCTGGTCATGTGAAGAAGTGGGCTGTGCCCACAAAAGCTCATGATACCATCTACATGTTTTGTTAGACTATAAAGTGCTACCAGACTGTTTTTGTGTGTTCAGTTTTTTCAGACTACCCCCTGATGCTTCTCTCATGTGCAACAATGTGAATTAAGAAGGCGCGAAACAGTTTGTTTTCTTCATCAAAGGAGGATGGGTGTTCAGGCTTGCTGATGGGAGGCAGAAGGCGGGGCGGGAGGAGGGGAAAGGGCAGTTGCCATAGGGTCCAGCTATTAAAAAAAAAAAAAAAAAACCCACACACTTTGGATGTGAATGGAGCAAGTTCTTCTACTGTACTGTAGGCTGTTGTGTCCCTGAGTGTCGTGTTTGAACTTCAATCTCCTGGGGATAAGGGTGGAAATCTCCATTCTTCCAAACTAAAATTGCATCTTCCCTGTCCTAGAGAGATGACAGCAAATTGTGGGCATCCTTACTTGGAAGTTCTCCTTTACAGTTTCATAATATTTCTTGTAATGTTTCTTGTGCATTCTCATTCCTGAAGTGTTTATCATAAAATTAGAAGGAGCTTATTGCATTTTACCACTAACAGTTGATCTTTGAATTATATACATTCGTGGATCAAGCTGTTCATTCCATCTTCTTAAAGTTATTTCAGGGGAGGGGAGGCTATATTTAAGGCTGTTCTGTATATAATATCCAACACTTTTCTTCCCCATAGCTGTAAACACCAGCAGGTATGCTGAAAGTTATAGGATCCAGACCTATGCAGAATATGTTGAGAAAAAGCATGAAGAGAATCAGGCAAAAAGGAAGTGGACAGAAGATAGTTGGAAGGAGATGGAGAGAAAGCGATTAAAAACGCAATACACATCATACGTTCCCCACAGTCGGTATTACTGTGCTAACAGGTGAGAACTTTTCATAAGTAGTAGTAATACAGGCAGGCCCCGGGTTACGTACAAGATATAGGGACTGTAGGTTTGTTCTTAAGTTGAATTTGTATGTAAGTCGGAACTGGTACATATTGTAGGGGAAACTCGAGCCAAACATTTCTCCAGAGCTCAGTTTTATTCTCCCAAAAGCCGCTCCGTGTTTCCCTGGTCTGCTGAGGGGCGGGACGGGGGGGCGGGGGGGTCGCTAGCTTCGTGTCTCCCTGGTCTGCTGGGGGGAAGCAGCTAGTGCGGGGTTGCTTCACCCCGTTTGTAAGTAGGGATCCGATGTAAGTCGGATCCATGTAACCCGGGGACTGCCTGTAATAATAATAGGACATTGGAAAGAAATTTTATCTTTAATTTCAACAGCTCTGGATGGCTATTCTTTGGATTTGGAAACTTAGGTGCTTTCTCTTGTGCAGTAGTCTGTGTTTTGTGGCTGACTTTGCAAGGTGCTTACCCAGGGCAATACATAATCTCTCATTCACTGGGAAACAGCCAACTGAACAATTTTAATGACAAATGCTTCTGTATAGCTAAGTGGTGAGGAAGAATGGAAGAAATTCTGTATGAGACTCCTTCATTGATCATCTACTTTTTAGGGTAGGCGTGAGGCTTCTAGGTGTTACTGTATTGTGTACTGTACTGTTATACATCATCGATGTATTTTCCTTGAAAGTCTCTGCTGCACGATTTTGTAGATTCCCTCTTAAACTTTGTAAAAATCTCAGGGAGCTGCTGACCTGACATGTTTACTGGATGGGAAGGGGATGAATAGGGAGCATGAGGTACTGGGCTTTTTCTGATTCTTTCTCCTTTTGTATGAATAATGTTGTGACTTCTAGCTCACATCATCTCCATCCGTGAATGTGCTGGATTTTGCAATATGAAAAACTGGCTTCTTTTTCCACAATTAAAACATCCTTAAAAACAGGTTTTATACTTATGGTGAGTGATTATATTTAGTATAAACACAACAGAGGTGTGTTGTGTTTTGGCTGCTTGTCACACTTGGAATTGGAAAGTTTGAGAGGAATGTTTAGGAGAGATGGAAGAACACAAGAGAGTCTTTGGGGGAGTTGGCATAAGGAGTTAACCCAAAAAATTGTGTTCCGTAGTTAGGTCTTCTTTAGTATAAGAGAGCATGAATAATGAGAGAGGCTTGTTACGTTGATTTACTATAGGACTTTTAAAGGTTGAGTCCTCAGTTACTTTCTGTGAAATTAATTGATCTAGGAATAGAATTACTACAATAAAATACACTGAATTGCTGTAACACATCTTCACACAGTTTATAGTTCCTATAAGTTTAGATAATATTGGAAGGCTTTTGAGGTACTTTGATACTGCCTTGTTTAAGGATGTTAAAGTTAGATTAATCAACTAGTTGAAAAGTTGACGGAATTTCCATTGACTGTTTGATTTGTCGATAAGGGTGCTTTCACTTTTAAATGCAGCAAGAGCCTGCCTGGCTGTTGCTACATTTCAAAGGCAGAAGTGTCATGTGGCATTCTGCCTTTGAAATGATTGTAACACCGCGTAGAGCCTTTGCCAGTGGGGGACTCTCTGAGGCTCCATGCGGCACTTCCGCTTTGACATGTGCAAGAGCCCCAGCAGGGACTCTTGTACATTTCAAACGTGGAACACCACCACTACACCCCTACCCCCTCCCACGGAGCTGGGGGGAACCAGCTTTTAAGCTGGCTCCCCCTAGCCTCCTGTCCCCTCCCTCCCCCCTGCCTCTTTCTGATAGAGGCAGCAAGGTGGGGGGGAGCAACTAGTCGACTAGTGTGTCGCTCAGTAGATTAGTTGCTTACATCCCTAGCCCTGTTTACCATGAGTATCTAGATGGTTTAGGACTTCATTATTGCAGCTGAGCTTCTGTCATTGAAGATCTGCTGGACTGGGTCATGAGTCCCATAATGACAGATTTATAGCATTTTTTGTATTTTGATCTTTAAAGGGCAGAATGTATTGCATAGTCACGTATTAGTAGAATCCATGTCCCAAATTAAAGTCTACTGGCGTGAAGAGTTGATAGTGGGCTGTCTAGCAAGGAAGACTACAGATGTGACTTCTTCATGGGTACATACATTCTTTTATAGAGCAAAATATCATAACAGCCATACTGGATCAGACAAAAAGTCCATCTAGCCCAGTATCCTGTCTAGCAATGCCAGGAACTCTAGAGGGAATGAACAGAACAGGTGATCGTCAAATGAGCCATCCCCTGTCATCCATTCCCAACTTCTGACAAACAGAGGTGAGGGACACCATTCCTACCCATCCTGGATAATAGCCATTGATGGACCTATCCTCCATGAATTTATCTAGCACTTTTTTTAACCCTGTTTTAGTATTGGTCTTGGAAAGGAGTTCCACAGGTTGTTCATTGTGATATAAAATACTTCCTTTTGTTTGTTTTTAAATCTGCTACCTATTAACTTAATTTGGTGACGCCTAGTTCTTGTGTTATGAGAAGGAGTAAATAATTCTTCTTCACTTTTTCCGTACCATGTATAGACCTCTGTTGTATCCCCTCATCTTTTCCAAGCTGGAGTGTCCTAGTTTTATTAATCTGTCTTCATATGGCAGCATTCCATGCTTGGGATGTTAGTATGTAGTCATTTACATGATTAATTGATAAGCCAGGGCTTATTGGTTAATCCTACCCCTGGCTGCCCTCCCACCTCCACCCGCTGCTGCCTCTGATAGAGTCAGTAGTGTGGAGGGCGAGGTAGCTCCCTGTGTGTATCGACTCCTACGGAGCCATCTACCTTCTCTCCCCCTCGCTGCAGGCAGCAGAAGGGGCTCCCCCCAGCCTCCCCTATATGTAAACAAGTAACCACTGAAAAATTGGGCAGTTACACATTTACCAAAAAACACTTTTGATGACATCCCTATTCCATACCCCTAATCTTTTTTGTTACTCTTTTCTCAGCTTTTCCAATGCCAAGATCTTTTTGTAGATGAAGTGACCAAATCTGCAATCTGTACTCAAGAAGAGAGTGTACCATGAATTTATATAGAGGCAAAAGATATTCTCTGTCCCTTTCTTAATAATTCTCAACGTTCTGTTTGCTTTTTTGACTGATGCTGCACATTGAGTGGATGTTTTCAGAGAACTATCCATAATTACTCCAAGATCTCTTTCTTGAATGTTAACAGTTAATTTAGACACATTGTGTGCAATCAGCATGTGTCTCCATTCACATGCATGTCACTTTAGTAATACTGTTAGGAAAACAAAATGTCTTGTAGGCCATGCGTAGAACCCTGATGGGTTGCATGTGACCACAGGGCTGCAGGCAACCACCACTGTTTTTTAACCAGTTACCAGTCCATGAGGAGACCTTCCCTCTTATCCCATAACAGCCTACTTTGCTTAAAAGCTTTTGGTATAGAACATTGTCAAAGGCTATCTGGAAATCTAAGTACATGATATCCATTGGATCCCCATTAACCCACATGCTTGTTGTCTGCCTCAAAGAATTCTAGTATATTGGTGAGACATGATTTCTCTTTACAAAGAGTTATGTTGACTTTTTCTCAACAAATTATGTTCAACTTATGTGTCTGACAATTCCGTGCTTTACTGTAGTTTCAACCAATTTGCCCAGTACCGAAATTCAATTTACCGGCCTGTAAGTGCCTGGATCACCTCTGGAACCCTTTTTAAAAATTGATTTCACATTAGCTATCCACCAGTCATTTGTTACAGAAGATGATTTAAAGCAGGGGAAGAGAACCATTTTGGTATCCGGGGGTATGGGAGATCTACAAAAAAAGCAGTTAGGAGCTACACGCAAGTGAGAAGCAAAGAAAAGAAAGCCCAAACCCACATTGATGTGGCTCCCAACTGAGAAGGAGACTGATGCTCTTCACATTCCCCTCGCACATCAGAGCCTAAGAGGGCCCAGGCTAGTAGATTTTGTGTGCTCCAGCCCCATGGGGGGATGGCAAGGAGTCTGGAGCACTAGAGTGGGCTTCCCAAAGCTGGGGGGGGGTCTCAAGCCTCAGGGCCTGGATCCAGGAAATGTAGGGGCCATATCCAGCCCCCTAGGCCTTAGGTTCCCCACACCTGATTTTAAAGGGATAGGTTACAAACCAAAGTAGCTCTGTAGTTTCACTTTTCATTCTTTCTTCTGGTCCTGTGATTTATTGTTGTTTAATTTATCAACTTGTTCATAAACCACTTCTAATGACGCATCAATCTAGAACAAAACAACAAATAGTCTGGTAGCACTTTATAGACTAACAAAACATGTAGTTGGTATCATGAGCTGTCCTGGGCACAGCCCACTTCTTCATACTTCAGATCTACATGTTTTGTATATTAAACCTTCTTAATCCAAGTCACTTATTCTGCCTAGCTGCACTTAGAATTTCTCATTGTGAGGCAACTACACAAATTAATGTTTGGTTAATATATTTTAATTGGTAGATAGGAGAAATGTGTACTTAAAACTTGATCATAGGAAAATTACAGTAGTAGGAAGAGTGTATGTATTAAAAATCTAACTATGGATCTGGCTGGCATATTAAAAAGCTACTAATTCAGATTTGTTAGTGAACTTGAATGGTTAATTCCACTGAAATTTTTGTTTTATTTTTTGCTTTGTGGTTTCTCTTTGCATGTATTTTGATTCTACTGTTTGTTAGAAGTGTTATTTAGGTATTGTTCATGCTGCTATAATCATTTATCAGCATTTCCATTATAAATATCAATTTATCAGGGGTTTACGACTGAACCTGATAAACTCTGCCCAGAATTAAATATGGGAAGCAAGGAGTTAGCCCAGAAATAATTTTTACAACAATATTTTTAAAAGTAGATTTATGTTATCAACCTGTTAAACTTTAATTCTAATGCAAATATATAAAGTATCAATTGTGATTAGTTTTTCCTGTACATACCTGCCATCTACCTATGTACATATAAAATTAGCAGGTTAAGTAATACTTGATAATTGGCT